TGGGAAGATCCTGCCTTGTGTTAGCTCAGTGATGGGATGCTTGCCTAGCATGGCTAGGTTTGACTCCCAGTACCACAAACAAACAAATGTGGTATCATAGGGTCCTTCTGAAGAAGCACAAAGATGCCTAACATCTAGCATGAAGTTTTCAAGTGTTATGTGGCTGAGGGCTGACCATTTCACAACAGATACATTGTTTCAACCTGTGGGTGGCGGTATTCACATTAATTTTTTCTTTTTCTCCTTTTTTCCCCCTTTCTCTCTCTCTCTCTCTCTTTTTTTTTTTTTTTTTTTTTTTTTGGTTTTTGAGTCAGGGTTTCCCTGTGTAGCTTTGGAGCCTGTCCTGAACTGGCTCTTGTAGACCAGGGTGGCCTTGAACTCACAGAGATCTGCCTGCCTCTGCCTCCTGAGTGCTAGGATTAAAGACGTGCACCACCAACACCCGCCTTACATTACTAATTATAACAGTAGCAAATCACAGCTGTGAAGTAGCAATGAAAATAATTTTATGGTTTTAAGGTTGAGAATCACTAGCTCTAGACGTTTTTAAGAACCATTTAAACTGCCTTTTTAAAGAACAAACTGGATACACTTTTAACACACAGGTACCTGAACATCTCTGTGAGAATGCTGGTTTGTACAGGGTCTCTAATGCAGGCCCCAGGACTTTTGGGAGCAGGGATGATGTGCCCCTCCAGACAGCACGGTAGACACCTCAGGTGTCTTCAGGTATGTACTTAAATGCACACACACCCACAAGTGTGCATGTGAGTGACTTTCTGCTTGTTTCCTCCCTCACCTTTAGCAGCTTTGGGACATTAATTCACCTTGTCCCTTTGTTCTGCTACATCTAAGAAGTAACCACAGGATATAGGTAGCAAGAGCAAGCAGGACCTAGGAGTAGAAGGGCTGTCACAAGTTCATTCTGATGACTACAGAGCAAAGGCCCTCTCTGGAGGACTAGAGGGCTGTGGACCCCAGATGCAAGGCCTCTTCTGGAGTGAGCTCTAGCCTATGATTTACTCTTGCTTGTCAGAACACCCCAGCCTGGCCAGGGAGGCACACTTAACTGTCACAGGAACTGCACACTGAGTGAGCACTTCCAAGGTCCCAGAAAAGTCAGAGCTAAGGAAGCTAGGAGAGCAGGCACAGACCATGTGGGAGTAAGCCTGGTCTGCAGAGTTCACTGTGGGTCTGGATCTACCTGAGAGAAGACCTAGAAATAAGAACTCTTTTGAAAGATGGTGGTGATGCAGCAAGTCTCTCCTGCTCAAGGGAGACCAGAAGTACAGCTGGTTCCTTGCCTTCCAGGCCAGCAGGCCCCACATGTGCTATAATCAGCTTGTAGTCAGTCTGAGTAATGTCACCAGGTCTCTACAGAATCACCAGATTCTCGGCATCAAGACTGTCACCTACCAACTAGAGACAGCAAAACCAAGTCCTGGGCTTTCAATGGATGAAAGGAGGTCACATAAGTCATTACCTGGCCATATAACTGGCCATATAACTGACCATACCACTGAACACTTGCACCATAAAGAACAAAATAGTCTCAAGTAAACATGTGGATTCTCTGCAGAGCTTCCCACTCATGCACTTCTCAAATGGCATGTGGTATGCACACATGCAAATCCACAGAGGAGGTCTGGAAAGAGACACACAGTGCAGGGAGCAATAGATAGCTGGGAGACAGTTCATAAGAGGCCACCAGAAGTCTGGGGGTGGGGCAGGGCTAGTTGCCATTGGTATAGTTACATTCCTGGACAAAGGGCTGCCCATCAATGAGCTTGGCTCTATCCTGGGTAAGAGAAGTCCTGCCCAAGCCATCCTCTGCTCAGATAGACTGCCTTCTGGGCAGTTATGTCAGAGAGTACCAGTGATTAGAGAGGCTGAAACACACTGTCCAAGAATCCCATGCAGAATCGAATCACCACTTCAGTGGAGAAGGATAAATTTTCAGGCTAACCTCTGCCCATCGAATTAATTCGGGAAACAGGTGAGAGTGATCTCATTCTACTTTCCATCCCCTGCTCCAATCAAGAGCAGGTGACCACAAACCTTACTCCTGCCTGGCAGGAAGGACTATGCCCAACACTGTGCTTACCTTCCTCAGAGTGCCCGGGGGGGGGGGGGGGGACCTGAATAGTCCAGCCCAGGGAGCATATAGAGATATTTTGGTTCTAGGTGCTACAAGGATAAGAATGTGAAATAATTTTGGAAAACAATTCTTTATAGGAACAAAGAGGTCGTAGGAATCTATTCAGAGTATCTCTGAAGACTGAGTGGCCCAGCATTCCAGTCCAGGCCCCCCAGCCATGCAGGACTCTCCAGACTTTTGATGGAGTGAGTAGGCCTTTTGGAGTATTCCATTTCCACCTCAAATACCCATGCCTCCAAAACCACCAGCATCTGGTCTTCCTGCTCCTCCAAAAGCAAGATTAGCAAATTTCCCAAGTATGGGCTGAGAGGTTCCAACTAAATAAACAAGCATCTTGGATTGTGGCATTCCTTTGTTTTGTGCTTTTGCTGTAAACACCAACTACTGAAATATGAGAGGAAAGGGCCCAGAGAACTCCTAGGAAGGGAGGGGTCATTACCTTGTAGCTAAGGAGGGCAGCTCTCTGCAAACAGCTGTTCAGGCATCCATATCAAAGGAAAGCCCTGGCTAGGGGACCTTTGCCCTTCCCTAAGTCACTAAACACCGCCCCCCCCAGCTTTCCAGGTGGTCAAGGCACATGTCACCAAACCACATGGAGGCTTGGGAATAGCCACACATCAAGAGTTGCGGGCTACCTTGTTGGCTATAATCATCATTCCTGCCAAAAAAAATATTATTCTCAAGGCGGGTACTGGGGTGGAGTAGATGTGGCAGGGTAGTCAGTCACTGCACGCTGTGACCCACAAGCCAAACCACAACCACTCCACAGCCAGAGCCCCTGGGCCCACCTTACTTGATTCTCCCCTTCTGTGCCCAACACACCCCCTATTTCCCTGCAAGGTCTTCAATAGCTTACCAGGGCTTCCTGGATCAGAGGCTGAATCAGACTCCACCCAGAGGCAGGCATTTGAGATGTGCATCTCTGTCATCAGACTCACCTGGGTAGCAAATAAAATGCAGCCCAGACATCTACAGACTTCCAAATCCCCGCCCTCAAGAGAGCCTGAAACCTTACAGCCATTCGAAGGTGGTGCCTCCCTTGATCTCAACGCACAAGGAGGGCGGCCCCGGTTGTCTACCCTTGATCGTACAGCACACTGCGCACACTCAAAAGAAAGCCGGTTCTAGCCTCTTCTACCTGCTCTGAGTTTCCTGGCGCTCCGGAGAGAATGGCTCCCTCCCCACTACGGAAGACGCGGTCCTCAGCGCCCCCAAACGTTTTCTAAACGCCTACTGAGAGTGAAAGGAGGAGCGAGGAAACAAGGAAAACATCTTGGACCCAACCCACCCACGACGGCCAGCCCCTCCCTTCAGACAAGCCCTCTGCATTTCACCAGATCGGCTACCCAGTACTGCAAGTGGGAAGCTATTCTGCCCCAAGATTTCTCAATCCTATAGCTGTTCTCCGAACACCCCAAACCCCACCCAACACTCTTGGTCCATCAGGTTCTGAACCCAGCTCCGCTCCTCCCCCACGGCCACACCCACCCCGGCGGCCGCTTTTCCTAGCAGAACTCAGAGCCCTACACAAACCCCACCCCCTTCTGGGCTCACACACCATTAATTTTGACTATGAATGCCTGGAAACTGCCGGATCTTCACTCAATCCCATCACCTGCTACGAGGTTTGGGCAGCCGCAGCAAAGGACTGAGACCCCCACCCCCACGGGAAAAGTTCGCCAGAGAATCCCTAGCCTAGAAGTAAGCAGAGCTCGGACACGCCCCATTACAAAAGTACAAGCAGAAAGTCTACGCGGCTTCAGTGTCTTTTGGTGCTTTTTGGTTAGCCACTTAACTGTTCTAGCAACAAAAAAGTACAGCCCCTGGTAACAAAGCAACGGAACTAAGTGTTTTTGCAGTGAACTTGTCTCAAAGCTGTAAAGAGTGTCACAGAAGAGTTTCAGTGAGCTCAAAGGAAATACAACTAAATCGCTGTGTTAAAACCAAAAACAAGGGGGAGGGCTTCCATATACGAATCAATTACCCAGTGTCTGGTACGAGCGCGGCGAAGCGGTGCCCGGAAACCACAAAAGCGAATGACCCTACACCATCCCAGGTGGCAGGCTCAGACCGGCCACCCTGGTACAGGTGCCACCTGCCCGCACCCAGCCCTGGAACAGGTGAAAGTTGGGCCAGAAAGGGCAGTAAACAGAGCGCGCCTTTCTAGAGAAAGCGCAGACCCCTGCGGCCGGGCGCGCCCCCGCGGGCCGGATGGGCTGGGGCTCCCACAAAGAGCCGCGGGTGGGGAGTGAGGACTGGGACCGCCCCCGTGTCGGCCAGCGCCGCCGCTGGGTCGGGTTGCGACAAATTAAACCTTAGAGCGCTGGAAAAATTACAGGAAGAAGAGAGCGAAGAATGTGCCGAGTGGCTGAAGGGATCCCTGTCCCCGGGTGAACTTCGCCCGCCCGGGCCGGCCCCTCCCTAGCCAGAGCGCGCCCGGAGCCCTGGGGAGGGGATGGCGAGACTCTAGCCTCGGCAGCCACCCACGCCCCAATCGAGGGGCGCCGACCGCCCCCCAGCCACCTCCAGCGCACCTGCCCGCGCCACCCGCAACCCAGATGACGACATCCACCCCGCCGCCCCGCCCCAAGAACCCGGGAGGGGGCGTGCCCGATGGGGGCGCGGTCGCCGAGAGGGCGCCGGCTCCAAGCGCCCCGGCCGGCCGGCCAGCGTCACGCGAGGCCGGAGCGCCAGGGCAGGGGCGCGGCCGCGATCGCTCTCGGTTCCCGGCTCCCCGCCCCCGACCCCTCCAGCGCTGGGCCGAGAGCTCTGGGGGAGTGGCGGTACCCGAGTAGTCAGTCCCTAGACCGCTTGATCCCGGCGTTCGGGGCGCCCCACTGACCTGTGTGAGTTCTCAGGTGCGCCTTGAGGTGCGAAGATTTCCCGTAAACTTTCTCGCAGCCCGCGTAGTGGCACTTGTGCTTCCTCTGCGGGGACTCGAGGTCCGCGCGACTCCGGCCCCGCCGACCCCTTTGTCTGAGGCCGGGCTCGCCGCTCCCCGCGGGGCCCGGCTCCGGCTCCAGTGTTGCCTCGGGCTCGCTCCACGCGGGGCTGGGGGGCGCGGCCGGCGCGCCTGCTTGTCCCGGGGAGGCGGGCTCTGGGGCGGGAGGTGGCGCAGGGGGCGCGGGCGGCAGGCGGCAGGGGGTCCTCGCTTTGCGCGCAGCGGCCCCTTCTCTGCGTTCCGCGGGGGCGGGCGCCGGCGCCTGCTGGTTGAGGTCCGCTAGGATCCGCGCCACCACGAAAAGCGAGGCGCTGTCCTTGCCGTCGCGGCGCTCGTCAACGCGGGGCAGTGTGGGGGCGGCGGCGGCCGCGCCCTCGGGCCGGGGCTCAGGCCCTTCCCGCGGCTCGTGCACGACTGCGCGGCTGGACATAGACACGAGGCACTCGGCGGCAAAGTGATCCACATAGGCGGCGGCTGCCATGCTGTGGGCTCGGGCGCGCGGTGCTCTCGCAGGAGTCGTCAGCGGCGCATCCGCACCCACGGCCTCCGGAGAGCAGCGGGGGGCGGGGGCGCGGCGCGCCCTCTTCTCCGGCTGGGCTGGGCTAGGCTGGGCGCGCAGCCGCTTCTGCCGTCACCCGCGCGGCTCCGCGTCCGCCTGGCCGGGTACGGGAGGGTGAGCGCATGGGGGTCTCCAACGAAGAGGGTCCGCGTGCGGCGTCAGGGCCGGCTTGTCTTACGGATGTCGAGCGGCGATGTTAGGCACGACCCCTGCAAGTTACGGTCGCAGTTCCACCGTGCATTGTGGCAGGCGGGACAGCCTCCGTGCGCGCCGCGGCTCGGTGTGGGCGGACCGGCCCCGGGGGTGGGCGGGGCCGGGGCCACATCTGGACCCGACGTCAGCCCCCAGCCACATCCTGGCGGCGCAGGTTACAGGCGGCAGCGGCCGCAGGGAGCAGTGCGCACGAAGGGGGCGGGGAGCCTAGAGCGCGCACCAAAGGGACCGTGCGGTCGCGCGCCCGCGCCCTGGGAGGGGCGTGGTCAGTGGCATACACGAACGCCATTGGCCCTTGAGTACTCTAGCCCGCCAATCCGGGCCTCCAGAGGGCCCTACTGGCCCCGGGACCTGCGCGCGCCAGTGGGCGTGTCCCTGGACCTGCAGAAGGAGGGGCGGAAATCGGAGCCCAGCGCGGGGCACGGTGACGCATGACGTTAGAGGGTGGCGGGCCGCAGTGTAGCGGCGCAGGGCTGGGGCGCGTGCCTCCCGCAGCGGGAACCCTGCCGGGCCTTTCCATGCCAGCGCTTTTGTGCGCAGGCAGCCGTGGGTGGTGCGAGGATGGCAACGCTGGGAAGGGCACCCTGTGGTCGCTTCACCCGCTGGGAGCGCGGGCGAGGTGGCGTATCCGTCCCGGCGGGACCCAGGCGGCCGGCCTCGCCTATGGGCGGGACACTGCCGCTCGTCATCCCACCGCAGCGGAGTTCTCGGGTGGCCGGGCTTATACTGCAGCCTCCAGCCACCTCCACACTCTGCCCCATTGAGCTCCAGTCCTCGGCGCAGCCCTGGCGGGAGCCAAGTCACCACCCGGACCGCCCCGCCCCCGCGCGGCCGCACTGCCCTTGAGCCTATGTTAACCTGGCTGGTGCTGGGCCCACCACTGCCAGTGCTGAGAGAGTGAGCTACGTGCTGGGGCTGCGGTCGCGGCTGTTCAGGGAACACAGGGCCCCTTCCTCCCCCTTCCCGCCCCAGGCCTGCTGCCAACTTCTTCAGGCCGCCCCTCTCTCACCGCAGTCGTGGAGGCTTCAAACACCACCAGCTGCGAGGACCCCGCCCAGGGCGCCCCACCCATCCACTGTCTGGGCCTCTAAAGGAAATGCTCCGCTGGGCCCCGCTGGGGCCTTCCAACCAGGCCACCTTGCTCTAGAGTCTAGACACACACATTCATATTCTTTCTCTCCAAACCCACTAGGCCATCATCAGAGACGATAGCTTACTAATATTGCCTTTGAACCGATCTTAACGCACTTTTCGGGACTCTGGCCGCGGCTGGCCTCTGACCTGTGAGGACAGGGTCAGCAGCCTCTGTTTTTCCATTGTGGGTGATGCCTTGAAACAAGTCAGCTATCAGCGTGTTGGAAAGCCACTCCAGTGACCTAAAGCAGGGGCAAATCACCTTACTAGCAAAATTAAGAACCATGGTTCTGACCTCAAGTTCGCCAAATTCATTGGGAGCCTAGCTAGAATAGACTTGGACTTATCTTAACCACGGGAAACTGAGCAATTTGGAATTTTAAGTTGTGAAACTTATGTTAATGTCTGAGCACCCCGAGTGCTAACACACACCCTCAATTTCCTCACTGTTGGGCCTGTCTCTTGTGGAAGCTGAATCAAGGCTCTGCAGGGAGGGTCTCAACTTGGCAGAAAGTAGTCATCTTTGTTCCAGGCAGATTGTGTTGATGACATTTAAGAGACTGTGTCCTGACCAAGTGGTGACTCAGAATGTTCCTCTGTTCCCACCACATGCCACAGACAGTCAATTTCATTAGGAAAGAGCTGGTTCCTACACTGCCATTCTAGCCATGTGTTCCTTCCTGACCCTCTGAAGACAGCGGGATTCTTGTGCTGCCCTTGTCTCTGCCTGCACTGGTGAACCTTCCTAGCACATGCACTATTCCTGAGTATTGTACTCCCACATCATAAGCTTCTATGGTAGCCTGAGTCAATGGACCATTATCCTGTCCAGCTCCTCCAAGCCCCCTTTTGATGGTGGCCTCCCAAAGGGTTTCCCCTGGGTCATTTTAGATACCACAGTCAGCACCTCGACTGATTTCTAAGCAGTTCACTCACTGAGAAAATAGTGACTGGGGTCTCAAGCCTCAAGCTCTTGTCCCAAGCACAAATGGAAATATCCAGGGTGGTTCCATGTTTTCTTGCTAGTGGGTAGATGAGAGTAGGAATAATTCTTTTTAGCCAGAAGCAAGTGGGGGTGAGCAGATCAGGGTAGACCAAGTGAGAGCAAGTGAGCCTTGAAGAGAATAAGATGGGTGAAGTTTTGGGGTGAAGGTGGTAGTAGTGTCAACTTTAACTGCCCTTTGGAGCCTCTGAAACAACCTCAACTATAAGACAAAAATCTCAACTATAAAACAAAAATGCACAAGGACAGGAACAGGAAAGGAAGCAGCAGCAGCCAGTAAAGCTTAAAAAAAAAAAAAAAAAATAGGAAGGAAAGCTTTCTCTGAAAGGTTCACAAATGGCAACACTGGGCACCTCTGGACATGGAAGAGAGAGTCTGTTCCCAGTTATACTCAGATCTCCTGCCAGCCCTGTGCTGCCTTAGAGCTGCCCCCTTCCTCTTCCTGAGGAGAGACTGCAGGTATCTAAAGGAGTTAAAGACAAGTCCCCAAAGAGAGGCGCAGAGGCAGTGGCATAACACTGTGTACCTACTGACAGCTACAAGTCCCTTTCAGGATTTCATGGTGCAGGGAGCCAGGAGCCTAGGAGAGGCTTTTGGGTTAAGCAACAGGAACCATCCGCACAGGCTCACATCCATAGCTGCTCAGATGTCCAATTAGCATAGTACAGAGAAGGCCACAGTGAAAGGTGCCACTTGGCACAGGACTTCTGAGCCACCTCAGTCCTCAAGCAAATAGGAGTGGGCAGCTGACCTGACCCAACATGTCAAGAAGCCTGCATCAGGACATACAATGCCTCAATAAGTTTTTGTTTTGCTTTGTTTTTCTGTTTGTTTTTAAGTTGTAGGACACTAGCCATGTAGAGGGAGAGGTAAACATCAATAAAACTACCAATAATATCAATAGGGAAATGTAAAAGGATACCACAATCTGCAAAAGGGAAATAGGTGCGAAGAAATAGTAAGGAAGCTTGAAAGAAAGTAGCAAGCATGTAAGTGACAAAGTCTTCAAGGGAAAGTGGGGAGGGAGGAATAACTAGAAAGAATTCACAACAGCATAAAAATGGAAAGAAGAGAAGTGGGGAAATGTTAATTAAGAGAATCAACCTGAAAGTGCTTTGGTCAGTCCATAGGAACCCTAACATGGTAGTTAGAGAAAATCATGGATGAATTAGTCCAGAGGTTTTAACAATGTGTTGGAAAGGCCATGGAGAGTGGGGTCATGAGAGAAGATTCCCCACCTTGTATCTTATCACTCTTGACTTTCTGAATATCAGGGAAAGTGGTCTGATGTTGGCTATAGTTCATATACAAACTCCAGTCAGAACAGTGGTCTTCTCACAGCTGGGGTACTTTCCAGGATCAAAGAAACAAGATTTGGGAATGCTAAAGGAAAACGACCATAGCCTTCACCCAGCACACAGTGATCCAAGCATAGGCATTCACCAGCAGGGATGCAATTTGGGAAGTGTGTCCTTAAGCAATTACGTTGCTGTGAGTATTGCAGAGTGTGTTCATGCAAACCTGAGTGTTGTGTGTTAGAAACCCCCAAGCTGTGTGGTATGTTTTTATAATGAACAGACACAGAAAACATAAATTAATATTCTTTACCATAATTTGGATAGTTGTACCCCAAAAGCTGTGTGTTACAGGCTTGGTTCAGTCTATAGTACCTTGGGACATGGCAAAGCCAGAGATAGAACCTAGTGAAAAATATCATTAGGGATATAGGGACCCTGTACCTTCTTCTGCCATCATCCTTGCTTCACTCCTACTATTGCTGTGGGACTGAAATCTCTAAAACTGGACTTGGTGGTGGTGGTGTATGCCTTTGATATCAGCACTCAGAAGACAGAGGCAGGCAGACCTCTGTGAATTCAAGGTTAGCCTGGTCTACAGAGTGAGTTTCAGGACAGCCAGGGCTACACAGAGAAATCCTGTCTTCAAAACAAAAGAAACAAACAATTTCCTGATTTAAAATTCATCCCAGCAAACTTTAAGTAGGAACATACACTGAATGATAAGAGTTACAGGTATCAGGAGTGCCTGTGCTATGCTTTTAGATGACTGACAATACAGTATGTTTGTTTGTACCCCAGGTAACTCACTCGTTGCTCTGTGATCATTGCCATGGTTGGCACATTGGAAGTGATAAGACGGACTCTGTTAGAAATTTCTTTAGGCATCATGGTGGTAAACATTGTCTGTAACTGACAGAAAGTTCATTATACAGCCTGACTGCATTTTTAGATGGCAAGTGTTTCCAAAAAGTTTCCTTCTCCTTGTGGGGAAATGAATCCTTTCTTGTGATCGGAGCTACCTGAGGTCTTAAGTCACCAAAACAAAGAGGACAAAAAAAAAAAAAAAAAAAAAAAAAAAAAAAGCATATGATCCAGGAAGCAGGGCACTAGACACAGGGTAGAGGGAAGGGAGGGGAAAGTTCCACCCAGAGCTGCCCTGATGCTTGGAATGGCATCAGTCAGAAGGGGCTGGCCGGGCTGGCCAGGCTGCAGATCTTTGTTTCTGACATACTGCACATCCATCATGAGGTGCCTGCGATCAGCAGGTGGATGGAACAGCTTGTGTCTGCAGTGTGCTGGTTGCCATGGCAGAGGAAAAGGAAGAATGTTAACCTTGCTGTTACTTACCTCCTCTCCCTGCACAAGATACATCGCCTCTCTGGGTGGCCTGACCCAATCTGAAGTGCCTTTTTAATCTGGAATGGGAGGAATTCACTAAGACATTGCATGGCATCCAACTGAAGGTCCAGAACTTCCATAGGATGATCTAATTTCTTCACATAGCTCATGTGGTTCCTCATGGTCTTGAAGTTTATAACTTAAAAGTAAGTTGTCAGTACCCTATCCCTTGCTATGTCTTAGGTGGATTAACAGGTGGGGCCTAAGTGTGGGTAAGTCAGTCATTGACAGCATCAGCCACTGAATGGGTGAATGCTATTTTCTGGGAACATATAAATACCCACAGAAATTAGTTGTTGGGAATGGTACAGAGATGGCTTAGTGGTTAAGAGAACTTGCAGAAGACTCAGTTTCCCTTTCTAGCA